ACTGTCTTTGTAAAATTTCATTTACAGATGAAACATGCTTAATAAGAATTAATGTTGATTGCATTGGTTTTCTTAAAGATTTTCTGAGAGCAGATAACAATATATCTAAAATGAATTTTGTTGTCTTTGGTGGGATGAATAAATCAGACTCCATTAATGAAGGGTAATTTATATTATAAATATTTAGGATCCCAAAAACAGTTAAATGAAGACTTATTAAAAAAGAGGTTTATTCTGGCAAAAAGCTTGCGCTAGTTAGGAAATAATATTTAATATAATGGGGGTGGGGGGGAGTGAGTGTCCACAGCTTTTTCCAAGTACAAGTGTCTCATTTCATAGAATAAGATGAGTTCAGAGGTGAAGCTGGGCCAGTTTCACATAGTCCAAGGGCAGTGGATGTCTGATGACAGTGGTCAGTGTGGCTATCTCTTGGGTCGTACTGTTCCAGTGTGGACTGGTAGTTTACTAAGTATGGAGTTTGAGGTTGGAAAGAACTTTCCTTCCAGATTTTAAAAGCATTGCTTTGTTGACTTACCGATGTGAGTGTTGCTGAAGCTGTTCTGATTTATGATCTTTTGGATATGATCTGTTCTTTTTTCCTTCTTTTTTTCCTCATCTCTGAAAATGTGTAACGTCTTTATTTCTGGTGTTCTGAAATTTGACAATGGTGTCTTTTTGTGTATGTCTGTTTTTCAGTTACATTGTTGAGGATGAAGTGGTTATTTTGGCTAGACTCTAGTTCTGGTGAATTTTCTTTGGATATTTCAAAGCTTTCTCCCTCTATTTGTGGGTGGCGGAGTTTTTTCCTGGTATTTTGATGCTGACTCTTTTTACTTGTCCTGTTTTCTTTCCCTTTTTTTTTCTTTTCCCCCCTACTTTCTATCTCACTTTCTTTTTTCTTAGGTCTCTGAGAGATTGCCTCAGTTTTTCTTTTGTACCTTCTAGTGAACATTTCATTTCTACTATTATGTTTTTAAATAAAAATTATTCTGATACTTGTTAAAATGGTAAGGAAGACTTTATACAGGGCTATTGCAATAGGGGAGTGTATTAGTCTGCTAGGAGTATGTTAGTCTGCTTGGGGTGCTGTAACAAAATATCACAAACTGGGTGCTTAAACAACAGAAATTTATTTTCTCGCAGTTCTGGAGCCTGGAAATTTGAGATCAGTGTGTCCGCATTGTGGGGTTCTGGTTAAGAGCACTCCTCCTGGCTTGTAGACAGCCACCTTTTTTGCTGTGTGCTTACATGGCCTTTCCTCAGTGCATGTGCATGGAAATTTCTCTGTCACTTCTTCTAAGACCACCAGTCCTCTCTGATTAGAATCCCACCCTTATGACTTAATTTAACCTTAATTACCTTCTGAAAGCCCTATCTTCAAATATAGTCACATTGGGGCTTAGGGCTTCAACATAGGAATTTGGGAGGAACAAAGTTCAGTCCCTAGCAGACACATACATTTAGTTCATAACAAAGGCTTTTCCATTAGGAGAAAGAGATGGGGCTCAACTCTGAATGCAGCATAGACACCTGGGGATTCATAGCCAAGTGACAGAATGAGGGTGTCAGTGGATGGAAAATTACTAAGAGGAGACATCAAGGATATGGGGATTCTTGCTAAACTGTCTTAACAGGAATCTTGCTGAAGGTAGGTCAAGGACTTATACATCAAAGGTGAGGAATAAGTAACTTGATCAGATATCAAGGGTGAGGGATTCTCTCTAAATTCACTTAGGGTTCTTGCTAAAACTGGGCTATGCAGACCTGGTAAGGATAGGACAGACACAGAAGGCCAAGTCAAGTAAAGGGTTCAGAGGAGCCTAACTAAGGTTTGGTCAAGGAGAGAGACTTTGCCAGCATGCAGCAATTTTTATATGCACACACTTAATTGTTCCTGGCATTTATCATTCCAGAGACCTATGTCTTCTTCAGAAAAGACTCTAGACGTCTACTGGTGGGGGAGGGTAACAGGGGACATTCGCCCAACAGTATGGAGTGTATGTGTGGTTGGTGTTAGGAAACCCTTTCTCCAACAGCTTTTACCTAGTCTTCCTTATTTTAGATTCCCTTCTTTTCACCCTGGATCTAGAAGTACCTTGTTCTGTCATTCTTGTGTCTTGTGAAGATTCTGTAGCATTATTTGGGTTAGTTTTTTTTTTTGTCTTTCCCAGTTCCTGACTTGGGATTCAGCTCTCTTGGGTTTGCTAAGCTCTCTTGGGTTGCTTCTCAACCATTTGCTTTCCAACTTCCAAAATTTTGTTTCTCCCCATTCTTGTGGCCTAATGTCTTTTGAAAGAATCCCTTTACTGTGTAAATTTATGGCTTTGATGAAGGAGAGACATTAGACATGTGCTTTTAAATTTATCTGGGAAGATGCGGTAAATGTCTTAAAATGGGAATAGTTTTAATTTGAATAGTTCAAGGGAATTTGCCATTATTTTTTGGATTTTGGGGGTTTTGCTTTGCTGTGATTTTTATTTTACAGATTTTTTTCATATAGTTATTTCTAAATGATCCCTCATGACTATTCTGTAATTTCCCTTTGTATGTAGAACTACCACAAGATCATTGTCTTGAAATTGACTGGTGGCTTCAAACAAGGGATGTGGTGGGAGGTAAGGGAGAGATGTGTGACTAGCATCTATTGGGTGCCATTAGAATGGTGATCTCAGTTTTATGTTACTTAATCCTCACAGAAATTCCGTAAGGTAAGTGATATTATCCCACCATATGGTTAAGGATAAAGATAAAGATCAGAAAGGTTAAGTAACTTGCTTAAGAGCTCATAAGAAAGTGGTGGAGCGGAGTTTCAAGCCTAGGTTTTAGGACCTTTCTATTCTTTCTAGTTTGTCATTTCCTTTTACTCTTCCTAAACTATATGAACAATTCATTCATTCACCAGTGAATATTGGGTTGCCTACTGTGTTCTGAGCCTTAGGGACACAGAGAGGAATAGTCCATGCCTATGGAACAGGAATGACATGATCAGATTTACCTTTCAGCAGGATTACTGGGTGATTTGCAGGCAGCTAAGTTAATTACAAAAGTCTTGGACTAGGATGGCAGAGGAGATTCAGAGAAGTGGGTAGATTTGAGATGCCTATTGGAGGTGAAGCTGACAAGAATGGGGGTAGGGCGATATGAATTTTGAAAGAGCTGGAGGAATTGAGGATGACTCCAGGTTTGGTTTGAACTAAGTATTAATAGTGCCTTTACTGATATGGGGAAGAATAGGCTGGGATGGTGGACCAGAATAACAACAGCAACATAATAATGTTATATCTATTAGATATATCCATGAGGAGCCGTCTAGTAAGCAAGTAAACATCTGGGAACTCAATGGGGGTCTGTACTGGAGAAATAAATATGGGCATCACTCACATTTAAATGGTATTTAAAGCCATGGGACTAGATACGATCATCTAGGGAGAGACTATAGATGTATGTATGGTAATATAAGTCTAAAGCAGTGTTACTGATTCACTTTTATGGAGAATCTTCACCTAATTTGTTGACTTGGAATTCCACATGAACCGAGTAGCATTTGCTGGACAGGGAAAAGCAACACACCCTGTAGCCACTGAATGGAATATATTAACCAGCAAGCACATTGCAAACATGCCAATAGTTAGCAGCTTTTTGACTGTACTATATGCCAAACACCTTGACTTTTATAAGAAAGACTATACCTGAGAGCATCCATATGGGGATCCCAGATTTTAGAGTGCCACACAAGAGGAGCATTATGGCACATGAATCAAATCTTCTTTAAGTATGAATTAGTAGTGAAAAAATAAGTTCCCACTGAGATGCTGAAACTAGAACATCTGGGATAACTCACTAGCTGATTCCCATTTACACATTAGTCTTACAGCATCCAAGCTCATTAAAGTGAAATATTTTGCATGTCATGGATCCTTTGGGCTACTGTCAATAGCCAAAATTATAAATGTCAAATCTTAGAATGCCAAGTATGAAAGAAACCTTTTAGGAACAATTGAAAAATTTGATTGGAATTCATAATAGGCAAACACTGGAAACAATCCAAATGTCCATCTACTGGACAACAGGTAAACAGTTGTGGTATAGTCATTCAGTGGACTAGTATAGGCAACAGTGTGGTTGAATATATTGAATATCAAAAACATTTTGTTGAACGGAAGAAACCAGACACAAAAGAATACATACTGTATGATCTTACAGAAATTCAAGAACAGGTAAAAACTATCAGACCAGTGTGGATGCCTATGGAATGGGGGGATTGACCACAGAAGGCATGAGACAGCTCTTTGGGATGATGGAAATGTTTTATGTATGTATCAACTAGGGTGTTTGTTAAAAGGGTATATCCATTTATCCGAACTCACCAACTTGTACATTTAGATTTGTACATTTCACTGTATGTAAGTTTTACCTCAGTAAAAAACAAGAAAACAAAAAGTTCGCTGAGTATTTCTGTGAAGGTGAGTATAGGGAGCACATCCCTGTGTTCTGTGTCTGGAAAATTTTTCAGAGGAAGTAATCTCTCTTTTTATCCCTTTAGGTCCAAAATGAATGACTTACCTTTCAACTCTTAGCTAACCTAAACAATCTCTGTTCCTATGACGAATGTTTATTGTGCAAACTAGAGTATTTAAGGTAGTAAAACGGAGTGCTATTATAACTTAAACTGGGGCAACAGTTAAAAGCTGTGACTGACCGACCGACCATTCCTATTTCTGTACTGGTCAATGTGTAGTACTCTACTGCAGTCACAGCTGAAGGAAGCCAGTAGTAGAGCAAGTGTTTACTGAGGGCAGAGCATCCTCTGCCTGGCTGACGCAAAGGTGGAAGGAGAGGGTGGGGCAGCAAGATGGGAGGGAGGGAGTGGGGATTATCTGTGGCAGGGGTACAGTGTTTCTGAGAGTTGTGATTTACAAGTGAACTTTTAAAAAAGATACATTATTTGTTTTATGTTTCCAAAAGTTATTCATGTTGCTCTATTTGTTCCTTTGAAACAGGGGATAGTGGATAGCCCCTTTCAAAAATGGAGGATGGAAAGCCTGTTTGGGCCCCACACCCTGCAGATGGATTTCAGATGGGCAATATTGTGGATATTGGCCCTGACAGCTTGACAATTGAACCCTTGAACCAAAAAGGCAAGGTGAGTTTCTCAGAAAGATTTCAAACTTCTTTCAAAAATAGGTGTTTTTTTCAAAAGACATAGGTTTCTCTCTTCTTAATGAAGTAGATATTCCTGGCACAGTAAGAGGAAAGCAAATTTCTGGTAAGTGAATATCAGTTTTCTACTGACTTCTTTGATTAAATCAGAAGTACATACCCGCAGGGAAAATGGTGTCCTATAATAAGTTCAGACAGAAATTTTTAATTCTTTTTTTTTTTCTTTCCTTTTTTTGTCTTTTTTCGTGACCGGCAACGGATCTTAACCCTCAGTGTCGCGCCCGTACCGGGCTGGGACCGGCAACGGGATCGCAACCCTCGGTGTTGCTCCCGCACCTCGCTCAGCCAGTGAGCGGCCGGTCTGTATGTGGGATCCGAACCCTCGGCGGGAGCGCCACCGCGCTCCCAAGCAGCGCAGTGTAGCAGTGCACCACCGGGCCGGCCCCCAGACAAATTTTGTGAGCCTTTCATAATCACATTCTTAAGAAGAAATAGCAGTATGATAAAATGTAAATAACATTTTTATTCCTTATGCCACATTACTAAATTATTATTATATCTAGGATGTACTCAACATGTTAGGAAGTAAAAAATGAAAAGTGAATGGGGTTATGTTATCAAATTTTGCTTTTTGCTTTAGCTTCTAGATAAATTATTTTTTTAAAGTTTTTTATTTACTTAAACTTAGCATGGGATTTGGGTAACTATATTTCTATTAAGTAAAGATACTTAAGTCTTAAACCTACCCAACTGTTACTATTTTTTGTGATAATGATACTTTTTAAAACATAGACATATACTGTAATTCTGTATACATGGTATTTATGTCCTTTTATGCTTAGACATAGACTAGACAGTATTATAAAATGCAAGTTTGGGGAAAAAGTGACCAGGAGTTGTAAATTGCTTACAGAGGAGGGATCTGTTATAAATACCTCTTTTTCATTTTTCATGGGGTCTGGTAGGGTCTATTTTTGTGGGAAAGCTTACACACAGTGTATTAAATATTCCTGTTAAGCAGTTCTTTTGACTAAATTAAATTTGCGGATGTCTTTTCTGTTTACTTTAGACTCTGCAAATGTTCATGAATAATTTATATTCTACTGATACATGGTTAACTAATGCCATATGACTGCCATCCTTCTGGGAACCTTAGAAAAACAAGTTGGATCTCTCATGAGGTCTTTTCACAGAGAAAACTATTCTGTTACTGTAAACAACCCAGGAACTGAAATGCATAATATATAATGTGCCATGTTAGAGGAGGCCAATTAAAGATACCCTCAGGAAAGGAAAAGACAAAGTGTTTCTAGTTTTTCCTCTTATTAACAGGTACCTATTTGTTCTTATAATATGGTACATGTTAAAAAATGAAAGAACTAAAAAAAAAAGCTCAATTACTTTATGTACTTAATCTTTTGGTTTTTGTTTAACATATTTTATTTTTTATTGAAACAATTGATTGTACATATCTGTGGGGTACAGCATTGAATATCACCACCTATGTGCAATATGTGATGCTTAAATCAGGATAATTAGTATATTCAGCATTACACAGTGTAATCATTTTTTGCTGCCCTTTACTAATTTCTTGCTTCTTCCCCTTTCCCACCTCTGGTGGTCTCAGTTCTGTTCTCTCCTTTTAAAATGTTTAAAATATTTTATAAGCACAGTAAATCAAAAGGCCAAAATGAAATGGAATGTATATTTCCTATGCATATTCCATTGTGTATTTTCTGTCTGCTGGTGACAAAGTAATTCAGTTTAAGCACAGAAGAAACTTGATTTGTAGGGATATACTTTTCCATAGTTTGAATATTTTAATGTGCTTTAGACTGTGCCTTATTAGTATTAACCAGGTGCATATATAGAACCAACAAAGACATTTTAAATTATGGAGTCATGCAAATTTTGTGGATCTGTAGATAATTCTAGAAGATAAAGTTTAGATTTCTTTTCACAGAAATCTTTTTTGAGGATTGATAAATTCTTAGAGATTGCTTTTAATTTTAACTTTTCCCCCTACTTGCTGACTGGGGTCTTAATAAATTGTAAAATGGTATAATAACCAGCTGGTTAGAAAGATCGTAAAAGAAGCAATCTTTTGCCTAGATAATTCATGATCCAGAGATTGTCAGTCTTTAAATATTATTAAAGAATGAAGCACTAATGTAGTGGGCCAGTCAAGTGCCCCTGTGTGTTGGTACTGGGAAAACAGACGAGGGAATGGAGAACACATCTTTGATGATAGCAATGGCTTTTCAGGTTATTTATTTGTGACCCATAGTAAGAAATAGATTTTACATTGCATTAAGTATGTGTATTGTGTGTGTGAATTTCTAAGAAATAGATTTTACATGTCAACAAGAGTGTGTACTCTGTGTGTGTGTGAGTGTTCATATATGAAACAGAGTTGGTTAAATGAAGCATCCTTAGCGTGTGCTGTGCATGCTGATATTTTCTAATGACTTTTATTCTGTTAAAAATATTGTCTTGACCGTATAATTTGATTTCATGTTCTGTATTTGTAGTAGACTGGCCTTCAGGCTGAAGCCCTAAATACATGGCATATAAGTGTCTACATGTTCTTTTCCCTGTCTAGTTTGCTGGTCTTATATTTTGTGAACTAAGTCTCCCCTTCATACTTCGCCATATATTTATTCTTGTGTGTCTGTTTTTCCTTCTGCAAGTGTTTATCAAGTCCTCACCATGAACCAGGTGGTGTTAGATGCTTTGTGTCATTGCTTACAGTACTCCCTTTGCCTGGAATGCCATTCTCCACAGACCTTTGTTTAGCACTTATTTATCTTTCAAGGTTGATTGAGGTCACCTTCTTTATGAAATTTTTCCACAATCTCTTTCTCTTCCCATGCAAGAGAATTGACTATTGATTACTTTTTCCTTTGAAGAGTATAAATTTTTAGCTCTTCTATGATCTTTATTGGAGATAATTATTTACATTTCTCTTCCCCTACCCATGAGGCTGTATAATCTTCTCAAGTACAGAGGCTGTTTTATTTGTCTGTTCTGTCATTGGACCTGTATTTGATGTATGGTAGGTGTTTACTGTTGAGTGACCAATGTATGCTTTGTTAAGTGATTTTGTTTTGATAGGAGAAATAGGCCTTCTCCCTTTAAGAGAAAACAATTGTCTGAATGAAATGAATTTTCTGAAGGGAAGAGGAAGATAGGGGCTGGTGATAATTTAGGGGATGCAGGAGGAGGGAGAAAAACCATCTTCAGGATTCATTACTGGCCTTTCATCCTGCTGTTAACCTTCTCATTCTAGCAACTCTGTCGTTGCCCTTCCTGCATGTCTCCCCCTCGCCCCCAGCTTGAAACTTCCTGGAGCTTTTTTTATTTGGCCTGGCTCCTACCAGGCTAGGACCAATCCCTGGAATCAGGGGAGTCCTTATCCATGTTGCCATGGCTGTGCGAAGTGAGCATGTAGGCTATGTTAGCAGTTGTTTCTGAATGCATTTTCCTGTAGAATCATTGTTATAAATTGGGGATTGTTTTATATTACTATTAATATACTTAATGCACATTATGGATTAATTTTACTTTTGTGGTCTTTCCTCCAAACTTTTCCATATTTATATATGAGAACTGGGTGTGTGCTGGGTTCCAAATAACTAACTTCCAGTGTTTTTAGAGCATAACAGTTTTCTATGTATGACTTTGAGTTGAGGTAGTCCAAGCAGCCTAGATTTTGCTGTGTAAACTACAGTGGTAGCCTTGTCTTATGTATACATACATACATTTATCTACAATATTACTTTAAAATAATTGAACCATTTTTTCTTTTCTTTTTTTTTTTTTTTTTTTTTTTTTTTTTT